GATGATGCCAACGCAGACACATCAGGACCAGCAACAACACCAACAGCACCAGCCATACCAACAGCACCAGCCATACCAACAACAGGTGCAACACCAGCAAAGCCACCAGCAACACCGGAAGCAATGGTAGTGTTCAAGCCATTCCCACCACTAGCACCGCTCCCACCACCCACACCACCGATGTTGCCCTCACACGGCAGGGTATCAGGGGCTGAATTATTGATGACAGGTGGCTCCAAGGGGAAAGATACAGTGTAGCTCCGAGGCACCAGAGGTGCAGGTTCGGAACGATGCTTAAAATGAGGCTTGGGTTGAGGGTCGGACCAAGGAGGGCTTGAACGGATGGAATCTGTGTTGTCTCTTTCCAAGTCTGAGGTGTGGCTTGTAAACGTCTGCTGCTCTCTCCACTCTTCCAGGGGGAAAGCTTCATGTATGAGGTATGCAGAAGCGGCCCCGCCGCCCTCAACTGCGGCCCCGCCGCCCTCAACTGCAGCCCCGCCGCCCTTCCCTGCGGCCCCACTGCTCTCACCTGCGGCCCCGCCGCTCTCACTTGCGGCCCCGCCGCTCTCACCTGCGGCCCCGCCGCTCTCATTGGCGGCCCCGCCGCTTTCTCCTGCGGCCCCGCTGCTCTCACCGGCGGCCCCGCCGCTCTCAACTGCGGCCCCGCCGCCCTTCCCTGCGGCCCCGCCGCTCTCACCTACGGCCCCGCCGCTCTCACCTGCGGCCCCGCCGCTCTCACCTGCGGCCCCGCCGCTCTCATCGGCGGCCCCGCCGCTTTCTCCTGCGGCCCCGCTGCTCTCATCGGCGGCCCCGCCGCTCTCACCTGCGGCCCCACCGCTCTCATCTGCGGCCCCGTCCCCTGCTGCAGCGCCGCCCGCCACCCGAGCTGCCCGACCCACCTCACCCAGCCGAGCAGCCGACCGCCACGCCGCCCTCCTGCAGCACCGCCGAGCCGCCCGGGCAACCGAGCAGCCGGAAAGCCGAGCCGCCGAGCCGCCCAGCAGCCGAGTAGCCGAGCCGCCCAGCAGCCGAGCCGCCGTACAGTCGAGCTGCCGGGCCGCCGAGCCGCACTGCAGCCGAGCCGCCCAGCCGCCCGGTAGCCGAGCCGCCGAGCCGCCAAGCCGCCCTACTGCCGAGCCGCCCGAGCTGCCCTGTCCGGTAAGCACAGTGCCTCTTTTACTGCAGTGTCCTCACCCTACTGTTTGCACTGCTAGTCTACTGTGGTCATGGCTACCCCTAGTGTCCTCGCTTTTGACGCTGAAGGTCGAGCCATTGACTTTGACGTCTGGGTAGATGACCTGCAACTGTTCTTACAGTGCGATAGGGCAGACAGTCTCTCTCTCTTTGACCTCACCTCTGGCGCCTCTCCTGCCCCTGCTGCTGATGCTAACGCCACTGTTCGCTCTCAGTGGGCCACACGCGACGCTGCTGCACGTCTTGCTGTGCGTCGCCACCTCCCTACCTCCGAGTGTGCGCACTTTAGTCAGTACAAGAGTGCTCAGACCTTGTACGATGCTGTAGTTGCGCGCTACTCCTCCCCTGCCACTGCTGCATTGAGCCGTCTCATGCTACCGTACCTCTTCCCTGACCTTGCTGCCTTTCCCACAGTCGATAACCTCATTACGCACCTCCGCACTAGTGACACTCGCTACCGCGCTGCGCTTCCTGCTGGCTTCTGCGCCAAGAACCCCCCCCCCATGTACATCACCCTCTACTACATAGTCACCCGACTCCCTGACTCCCTTCGAGTAGTCAGGGACCACTTCCTCGCAGTGTGCCCCACCACTCTCACCGTTGACCTCCTCGAGAAGGCCCTCCTAGCGGCGGAGAAGAGTATAGTCGCTGTAGGAGCCTCTCGTGGTGACCCCCGCGCCCCTGTCTTTGAGGGGTGTTCTCCCTCCCCCCTCTTGCCCTCTGTTGCCTCTGCTGCTGCGGCCGACCTCACTGGTTTTGAGTCGGTCGGTGCTGCGTCTGCCCCTTCGGGGAAGCGCCGCACAGGCAAGGGCAAGGGGGGCAAGGGCGCTGGAGGGGCTGGCGGGGGCGGTGGAGGTGGCGGTGGAGGCGGCGGAGGGAGTGGGGGTGGTGGTGGGAGTGGTGGAGGGGGTGAGGGTACCGGTGGCAGCAGTGGAGGCGGAGGCGGCGGCGGTGGCGGAGGGAGCGGAGGCGGCGGCGGTAGCGGAGGCGACGGTGGTGGGGGAGGCGGCGGTGGTGGCGGAGGCGGCGGAGGCGGCGGAGGTGGCGGTGGAGCCGGTCGCTGGTCTACGCAGAGGAGTGGCTCCGGTGGTGGTCCGCGCCAGCAGCAGCAGCGCGGTCGTTAGACCCTGTCCCCTCAGCAGCTCCGTGAGTGGTACACTGCACGCCAGCGGGGTGGGGGTTTTGGTCCGTGCACCTACGTCCTGCACACCGGCGACCGTGCGGGTGAGCAGTGTGGGGGTGCGCACCCCACCCAGCGCTGCTTTGGCCGCCTGACGGACGCGTGGCGTCACCAATTCCCTGAGGCCACAGAGATCCCTCGCTGGGGCGAGCTGTCTAGGGCGGGAGTTGCCATCTATGATCTTGATTTTGATGCTATTCTTTCTGCCATGTATGCTGTGACTATTAGTGATGAGGGTGACTGTTACCGGTGTTTCCCGCCCGATCCGGGCATTGAGACTGCTGCTCTAGGTACTGGTGAGGCTGCTGCCCTAGGTGCTTGCGATGCTGCTGCTCTAGGTGCTAGTGCGTATGAGTCCTCAGGTACTGGTGAGTCTGCGCTCTCAGGTACTGCGTCGGCTTCGGCCTCCCTCACCTTCACCCTTGACTCTGGGGCTTCTCGCTCCTTCTTTTGGGACCGCACCACACTCACGCCGCTTAGTCGGCCGGTTGCGGTGTCTCTGGCTGACCCCTCTGGGGGTCCTGTCCTGTCTCGCTTCTCCACAGTCCTCCCGTGTCCGGCGGCTCCCTCTGGCAACCTGTCTGGTCTCTACCTCCCCTCGTTCTCTACGAACTTGGTGAGTGGTGCTGACCTACAGGATGGGGGAGTACACCAGTTCACTCCTACGCGTCAGCGAGTGACGCACTGCACAGAGGCTCGCACGGGCCAACACTTGGCTACGTTTACACGTCAGCCGGGGTCGAGCCTGTACACACTGACCACCACGTCTCCTCCAATTGCTGAGTCTGGTAGGGTAGCTGCGTCGGGTCAGGTGTTTGCTGCAGCGTCCAGGTCTGGTCCTGAGTCTGCCCCCTGTTCGTGTCGTCTCCTGTCTAACGAGAATCTCCTCTGGCACCACCGCCTTGGTCACCCCTCTCTGCTTCGTCTCAGAGGCATGGCCTCCCGTCTTCTTGTTTTTGGTCTCCCCCGGTCCCTCCCTCCCCTTCCTCAGGGGCCTGGCCCTACCTGTGTCCCCTGTGTCGAGGGGCGCCAGCAGGCTGCCCCTCACTCCTCCCAGTTTCCTCCGACAGAGGCCCCACTGCAGGCGCTTCACATGGACGTGTGGGGCCCAGCCCGCGTCCGTGGACAGGGTCACGAGCGCTACTTCCTGCTCGTTGTTGACGACTACTCGCATTACACCACAGTCTTCCCGTTGCGCAGCAAGGGTGATTTCACTGAGGTGCTGATCGACTGGATCCGCGCAGCTCGTCTCCAGCTCAGGCAGAGCTTTGGCTCGGACTTTCTTGTTCTGCGTCTGCACTCGGACAGAGGCAGAGAGTTTTCCTCTGGCCTTCTGAGAGCCTACTGTCGCGCACGAGGCATCCGTCAGACCTTCACGCTTCCGGAATCTCCGCAGCAAAATGGGATTGCTGAGCGCCGCATTGGCATGGTCATGGACGTCGCTCGTACGTCCATGATGCATGCGGCTGCCTCCCATTTTCTGTGGCCGTTTGCGGTTCGGTACGCGGCGCATCAGATCAACCTTCACCCCAGGGTCTCCAGGCCGGAGACCTCCCCAGCCTTGCTGTGGACGGGGAAGGTTGGCGATGCGTCGGCGTTCCGGGTCTGGGGATCTCGGGCGTTTGTCCGCGACTTGTCTGCGGACAAGCTGTCCCCTCGTGCTGCTCCTTGCGTCTTCCTGGGGTTCCCCCCTGACGCGCCTGGGTGGCAGTTCTACCACCCCACCTCTCGCTGTGTTTTGTCCTCCCAAGACGTCACGTTTGACGAGTCGGGCCCCTACTACCACCTCTTCCCCTACCACACTCCGTCCCTCCCCCCCCCCCCTGCTCTTCCTTGTACCAGGTCCCCCCCCGGTAGACCCCCTCCCCCCTTAGGGTCCTGCCCCTTCAGGTGTGTCCCAGGTAGACGCAGTCGAGCATGTCGAGGTTACTGGTGACCCTAGAGGTGCTGAGGGTGCTGAGTCTGGGGGTGCTGCGACTGGGGGTGCTGAGACTGGGGGTGCTGGGCCTGGGGGTGCTGAGCCTGGGAGTGCTGAGCCTGGGGGTGCTGAGACTGTGGGTGCTGAGCCTGGGGGTGCTGAGCCTGGGGGTGCTGAGCCTGGGGGTGCTGTGCCCGGGGGTGCTACGCCTGGGGGTGCTGTGCCTGGGGGTGCTGAGCTTGGAGGTGCTACGCCTGGAGGTTCTCCGGGTGCTTCGTCTCTGTGAGAGCCACTCTCTCCACAGGAGCTGCGCGAGTGGTTTGCCCGGCGCTGGAGCCGTGCTGCTGGAGCTGTGCTGCTGGAGCTGGAGGTTCTTCGGCTACTGAGGGTGCTGCTGTCGCGGGTCCCGGAGGTGCTCGTACTGGGAGTACAGGAGCTGCTGGGCCGGCGGGTTTGACTGGAGCTGCTGCAGCTGAGGGTGTTGGCGCTGAGACTACTCCTGGCGGTCCTGCTGGGATTACTACTGGTGCTGCTGGAGGTTCTGAAGCTGCTGGAGGTGCTGCTGGAGCAGGTGCTCCTGCTGGGGGTACTGGTGCTGTCCCTGCTGTGTCTAGCGTCGCCGCGCGGCCTCGACCGTACTTCGTTCCACTCCTGCAGCAGGTTCTTGGTCTTCCGCCTTCTACTGGTCCTCGTCCTTCTTTAGAGTGTCCACAACTTGTCCCGTCACAGTTACAGTTACAGCCTACCTCCCCTTTGCCTGCTCCTTCTCCCTACACTGGTCCTACTGGAGGTCTTGCTGAGCGTCGTGAGCCTGCGTCTCGCCCTGCGTCGCCTGTCCGTGCTGCTCGCACTAGTGGTCGTGGTTCGCGTCAGCGTCCTCCTCCTGTCCCTGGCACGCACAGGATGTCTCTGCGTCCGTCCACTGCTCCTCTGCGTGCCCCTTTGCCTTCTCCTCTTGAGTCCTCTCTTCCTGCTCTTGCCGACCTGGAGTCGGACTCTCTTCGTGCTACCAGTCCTACTGTCACGCGTCTCCTTGCTACTGTCATCATTGACCCTTCTTTCGAGTCCACTGCTGCGTCTGCTCTAGTTGCTGAGCTCGTCAACTTTGCTGCTCGCTGTCGCCTAGACTACGCTGCCAGCCTTGTCGCTGAGTCTGAGTCTGTCTGTCCTCCGTCCGTCGGGGGTGAGTGTGCCCTTGGCACGGACGTCCTTGAGGACAGGCAGGAGGAGTTCCAGTGTTTGGCAGCTGCTTCACCTCATCTCGTGTCCGTACTGCTTACCCTTGAGGGAGACCCGGATGCACTTGACATCCCGACTCCGCGCTCTTACGAGGAGGTGATAGAGGGTCCCTACTCTTCTCAGTGGCAGGCAGCTATGGACACAGAGATGACTTCCTGGAAGTCCACAGGCACCTACGTTGATGAGGTTCCCCCGCCTGGGGCGAACATCGTCAGTGGCATGTGGATCTTCAGGGTGAAGCGGCCGCCGGGTTCTCCGCCTGTCTTCAAGGCGCGTTACGTGGCTCGTGGCTTCGGTCAGCGGCAGGGAGTTG